TCATTTGCTTAAATATCAGTATATATATATATATATGGACACAAATTTCTAGGGGTTATTCGTAAACCAGATGATCATTGTGTTCCAAAAAAAGGCTCATTAAAAAAATTAAATTATGAAAGAGCAAAAAAAAATGCTGAGGTGCGTGAAAATTATTTTTTAAGCTCCGTGAGGGGTTATGTATATTACTTTCGGAAAAAAACGTTGTTGATCATGAGTTGCATAGCAATGAAGTCTAATTTCAAAAACTTCTGAAAATGAAAATAAAAATTTTATACGACTGAATTTTCTTCCTCCGTTTAATTATCTCTTTAAAATTCCAGTTAAGTAGAAAATAACTAAACAAGCTTTTAAACAGAACAAGCGTTGTTTGCAGCATTTATTTAATACCTTGAATAAGTACATTAATTTTATGCAAAACATTTTTCCTCCTTTGCAAAACCATTTTTATTTAAAATACTTCAATTAAAGTTTACTCAACTAAATGGAGAAATTTAATTACATTGTACTGAACTATATTATTACTTATTTAAATATAGAACATATTTAAAACACGGCCCTTAACGTGCATGTAAAACATTTAGAAAGTTTAAGTGGAGTAGACTTATTAAAAAATATGATCAAAATTACCAGATTATGTTCAAATTTACCGCGTTTTTGGCTCTAAGGGGACACCAAATCGCTCAATAATTTTTTTCAGAGGCACTTTGGTAAAGATTTTTGGTAAAATTAACTATAAATTATGATTTTATAATATGTGATAAAATTTGGTACTTGTAGTAAATTTTTGTCATGGTACCTTAGAGCATGACATAAGAACCATTTATTTGGTTAAATTTACTTTTCAGCTTTATATTTTTCACTAAATATGTGGTAATTAGAACTATAATTTGGAAAACTTAACTTCCCGGTAAATCATTACCATAAGAATCACCAAATTACCAGAACAATGGTTTGAATGCTAGATATTTTGATTTCATTATTCTGAATTAGGTTGCTTTTTATTTTTTACTAGAAATGCCATTATCACATAGTACGGTAATTTTGTTAGAATTCTTTTCCCTGTGTACTAAATACATTTTACTGATTTAATATTAAAAATTATTTAAAATCTTAAAATATTGAGACAAAGAATAAAAAAGGGTATTAATTTCATCGCTAGATTTATATTAACTATCTTTATAGTTGGAAATGCTTTCATCGAATCAATGATGCAAACTGTTAAGTTAAAGAAAAGACGCAACTTTATAAAAATAAAATAAAATCTCATGTGATCTGTTTTTTCTTCCTTTTTTTAGCATTTTAACAAGTTTCTTCAATGCTTCAATATATATTTGTTATAAAAGTACCAGAAAAATGTGATTTATTTCATGGTTTTAACAATTTTCCCATAGACAGAAAAATCTCGCGAAATTGCGATTTTTAAAATTTAAATTCTTCTTTTTAATATTTAATCTATTCCATTGTTTCATTTTATCGTTCATACAATTTTTTTATAAAAATAATTTTTGCAGTTTAAAATTTCCGCAAATTGTAGTTAAGAATTTCCGCAAATTTAAAGCAATTAAACTGCAGCTTATTTCTTTGGCGAAAATGTTTCGTCCCGTAATCTCTGCAGCATTATTTTAGAAACGAAATATGTTAATTTTAGGGTTCCATATTATTGTACTCTCCTTCATATTTTATTAAATTTTCAAGACTTACATATTGTTCGTTTCATTGTGCA